AGTTGCATTTTTGTAAGAAACAAATCCATCATTAAGACGTATTTAATGAAATTACGTGTCCTCTATCCATAATATTGCTTCCTCCAATGAAAAAGTCATTTTGTCTGAATCAGGAGAGAAATATGCACAGATTAAGCACCATTTACAAGCTAAAATGGTTCTAAAAATATATGTTGGTGGATTTTGAAGTGAGAGGACAACAGGGGATAAACTTTTTCACTGGAGGAATTTTTGGGCTGAAGTGACTATTTAAAGTTAAAACACTGGATTTGTTTCTAAAAACTTGCTGTTTTTTGCTTCACAAGACATTAACTGATGGGCTGAAGTCGTGTGGACTACTTGTGGATTATTGTTATATTTTTATCAGCTGTTTGGACTCTCATTCTGACGGCACCCATTCACTGCAGAGGATCCACTGGTGAGCAATAAAGAATAAAAAGATAAAGAAACAATCTTGCACGTACTATCCAAAACAATTAGATGCTAACAGTTCTATGAAGATTATTTTCTCCAAATCTGTTCTTATGAAAAAACAACTCATCTTGGATGGCCTGAAGTTGAGTAAATTTGAATCAAATTCTCAGTTTTGAGTGAACTATTCCTTTAAGATGTATTCACAGGTAGAATTGCATGCAAATATTTTATTAAACCTTCCATGGCAAACATATGATACGTTATTATATTAACATATGACAACTGAGCCAGTCTTTATCATTAACTGTCTTAGGTACAGTGATGCATTGCAGAAAGTCAGGTGAAGGCGGAGCTTAAAGAAACAGCTGTAGGATGTGGGTGTGGCAGCAAGAATGCAGGTAGATGACAGACAGCAAAAACAAAGAGCACTTATAGAATACGAAGAGATGGGACCAAGAAGTTGATACTTTGAGAATAAAATACTGCAAAAACACCAGTTTTATAAACAACGAATAGAAACAAAACAGCCTCTGACAAAAGAAGATGACCAAGTTTGGAAAATGAGAAACAGTTCCATCATTTTTCACACACAAAGATGACATGTAAGTTCATTAACATGCTAACCATATACATTTATACGCACAGATTATTTTACATTATACTGCTGTGTGTGTGTGTTTGTGTGTGTGTGTGTATATATATATATATATATATATATGTATATATAAACAATATATATAGATATATTTAATTATTATTTATATATAAATAAACAACATTAAAACCTGAAACTTGATGGGCACATTTTCACTGGCTAAATTCTAGTTAAATCAAAATTTGATAAATCAAGAAGTTGGTATTTACATTATACTGAGCTCACATTGGCTCCTGCGTGTGGTGAAGTTTGTGGTGTGTTTTTAATGTGAAGACAGAAATGCAGAGAAACCGGTTGAGTGAATGTCTGGTAGTCTCATACACAAACTTAAGATGTCAAAGGCAAACAGAAAGAATGTGCTGAAAAAGGATGATCAGTAGTGGGAGTATTCAAGGCGTGATGTTGTCACAATGTTTTTTTACTGTACGTGCATTGATGTTCTTGATAATCTTGATAAATCTGAAGCTATTTTTAAACCATTGATCACAAACGTCAATGTTTGACTACGAGTGTAGATCATATTTTCTTTTCATGCCAGTGTTTTATATAGAGGCAAAAAGCTCCATCATTGTCATGATGTTATTATAACAAATATTTCGCTGCCATCAAATAGGATGGGACTTTGTGCAATGTGACGGTGTTGTCTTGTTTTACAAGACAATTGCTTACATATTTCATTGCTGAATAAAAATGTCAGAGACAATCAAAACAAAGCAAATCTAGCTTTATGATCGATACTTAAAAGTATTGTGAAACGTACAAATCATTTACAATAAAATACCAGTCAAAAGAACAGTAAGATTTTTAATGTTTTTTAAAGAATTCTCTTCTGCTCTGCTGTATTTTGGATCAAATAAATGCAGGCTTGGTGAGCAGAAGAGAATTCTTAAAAAAAAAAAACATAACAAATCTTACTCTTCAAACACTTTTGACTGGTAGTGTACATACACACTAACAAAGTATAACAAATATTCTCTGCAAAACACATACAGCAAACTACATGAGTAATCAATGTCAAATATTTAAAGTCTGGTTTGATGTCTTTCAAGGAGAGCTGCCAAACTGCACACATGCACTGCAAGATTATGCCAGAGATGTTTTATATACACTCATAAAACACATAAGCTGATGCATGTGAATAGCATTGCACTTGAATTACTGGATATCAGTTTATATGTAGTGTTTTGAAGTTGGTGCTTTGCCATATCTCATTAATGGTGGTAATATATATATTTTTCCTTTTACAGTATGTCTAATACAACTAACACAACAAATCTATGTGTAGCAGGCACTCTTTGTGGTAAGTAGTGTGTTATGTTCAATTTAGTCTCTCTCTATACACTACCGTTTAAAAGTTTAAAATATTTGTAATATTCAATAAGAAATTATATATTTTTTTTATTTACAAAGGATGCATTAAATTGAGCTAAGGGGACAGTAAAGAAATGTATAATAATGCTGTAGATTTCTATTTTAAAAAATGCACATTTTACATTCATCAAAGAATCCTGAAAAAATATTTCTACCAACAAATTGAGCAGCATAACTGCTGTCAACATCGATAATAAAAAATGTTTCTTTAGCACCAAATCACCATATTAGAATGATATCTGAAGCATCATGTACAATATTGCCGTTTTTATTGTATTTTTGATCAAATAAATGCAGCATTAGGGAGCACAAGAGACTACTTTTAATACATGTGGAAACACACTTTTCTCATCTATGACTATTCATTCAACAGTTCATTATGCTTATTGATATTTTCCCCAAATTCTTGAACATTCACTTCTTCTACAATAATTTGTAGATTAAAAAATAGGTAATTTTTACCTGGACCACTCCTTTCTCTCTGATTCATAAATATATAAATGATGAACAATCCCATAAAACGATGAAAAATCACTCAGACAAGACAGGAGGTTGAACGTGGGAAACATATTTCCAAGATAGGAAAGGAAAAGACAGACAAAGAGATAAGTCTGCCCTCACAGCCAGACACTGTGTCACGGTCATCTTTCAGAGAGGAACATGACTGATCTAAAACTTTAAAACCTCATCATCTCCACCAGTGCCACTGCAGACAATGAGCACTGCATGTTTCACTGGTGTAAATGAAGTGGGAGGAGATTAGAGAGAGTGATCAGATGTCTCACTGCTTGACACACTCAGTTCCCTCTATCTGTGACTAAAACATGCCAACATGTGACACGAGGAATTCAGCTTTCTAATCCCATTGTGTTCCTACTTTCTTTGCAGAGGTGCTTTTTTATGAAGTCGAACTGATCGTCGTTCCGGTGCTGTTTCTCCTGGCTTTTCTGGTCACGCTGATCATTTTGTTTGTGCTCAAATGCTCCTACAAGCCATCACATCTTTATGGACACCACAGAAATGAAAAAGATGACACACAACACCATCATAACACACAGAGACACCATAACAGCAACAGACGGCACCTGCAAGGCATTGACGGTAGCTACGACATCTGACTTTGTTACACACTAAATACTCAAGTCGCTTGTTGTTTGTTGTGTTTATTTAAAGGTCTTCCGGTTCATGCATGATAGAAATGTTTATTTTTAAGTCTTCCTGACCATGCATGATCGCTATGTTTATTTAAAGGGTTTCCCTTTATGAATGATCGCAGTGTTTATTAATAGACTACCTTGTTCATTAATTATCAAAGAGTTTATTGAAAGGTCTTTCTCAAAAGTTATACTGTAAGAACATACAACAGATTCAGTTTTTTTTCTCTCTTAATCTTTTAATTTACTTTGCAACAACAGCTCCAGCAGAGCTGAACCCATTGGAACATGAGGTTATTCCCATGACAGCCCAACCTCACCATGACATGCAGAATTCAAGCCCTGCAGTACCTCAGCAAACCACCGGGAGGCATCCGGACCTCTTTCAGCTGGTCTCTCCACTTCCTCTCACCTTCTCAGTAAAAGCAGACAACACTGTCACATTGCACAGAGCTGTCATGGACAGACAGCCAGTCGTTTTACGAGTGCTTAAAGGTACTGTTGGATAATCATTATTTTATTATTTTTTTTATTATTTTTATTTGATTTTAATAATATTAATATATCGTACAATTTATATATAGTATACTATTTTAGTTAATATTTCGAGTTAGCTATTATTTTTTATATTTTCAGTTTTCATTTTAATTTTAGTTTCATTTTAACATTATTTAAAATATTTCTATTTAGCTTTATTTTATTTCAGTTTTAGTAATTGTAGTAATTATTTCATTGCCGTTTTTCATGTCGTTCCAAACCTGTAAGACCTTTGTTCATCTTCGGAACATGTCGTGGTACTGTTGTGAACACGCGACGAAGACTGAGACGGAGGAGAGGAAATTGTTGAATAAAGTCATTATTTTTGTCTTCTTTGCACACAAAAAGTATTCTAGTAGCTTCATAACATTACGCTTGAACCACTGATGTCACATGGACTATTTTAACAATGTCCTTACTACCTTTCTGGGCCTTGAACATGTCAGTTGCATTGCTGTCTATGCAGGGTCAGAATCAGAAAGCTCTCGGATTTCTTTAAAAAAATCGTAATTTGTGTTCCGAAGATGAACGAAGGTTTTACAGTGTATTTTGTTATGAATCGGTGGTAGAATTCTGCCTCACTTGTTATTAAAGTTCAGGGTTTGCAACTAGAAGGTTGCATGTTTTATTCTCGAAACTAAAGAATGAGCTACAAAACCTCAACATAGTGGCCAGCAAGTTAGATAGGTAGATAGATAGAAGACAGACAGTCATATTGAATGACAGACAGATAACCAGGCGGACAAAAAATCTTACTTTCTTCTACTTTTTCCCTCATGCAGAATCAGCCAATGCCAAAGAGTGCCAGTCCTTTCTGGGGTTTGCCCACTTCCTTTCAGAGTTGGGACCGCATCCATCGTTGCCCAAACTGCTGGGGGTGGTGTCTGTGCGGACACCGTTGATGATTGCCGTAGAGGAGCTGGAACACCGTGACCTGCTGAGCTTCCTGTGGAGGTGCAGACAGGTACATGAGTGATGCTTCATTTTCACACTTGCAAGAGACAATGATAAAACTAGTTTGGCTTGATGAACTCAGGTTTCATTCCCGTGTTAATATATTTCCTTATGGGAGCGGGACATGAAAAAAGGGATTTTCCCCGTTTTAAGTTTACATCACTTAAATTTTTTTTTGTACAAAAGAGCAAGAATTGTTTCTTGATCAGAAAATCAGCATATTAGAATGATTTCTAAAGGATCATGTGACACTGAAGACTGGAGTAATGATGCTGAAAATTAAACTTTGCCATCACAGGAATAAACATGAACTAAAAGTCTCAAAACTCCAATTCTTCTAGATAAATATGACACGACTTGCAATTACTGTGCAATATTGACATTAAACTCTCACATTGATCAGTTATTTGCACTGCTGAGGTCACCTAAGAGTGGACAACACAGAGGTTGTGTCATTCCTGATTATCTCATTTGCAATGGATTGATTAAAAGTCAAACTACTATATATCTCACCTTTGTTTTGACTGGCTGTAAATCTCTTTCACAGGACCACACAGGTCAGGAGGCACCGTGTGACATGACTGAAAGACAAATCTTTACCATGGGCGCTCAGATTGCATCTGCTCTGGTTAGATAACAAATCAGCTTGCAAGATATATACAATCACATTGACAGACAAAAGCCTGGCAACAATGTATAATCAAATATTTATGAATGATTGAGTGATTTATAATGGCATGCATTAATCATGACCAGTCATGAGCACTTATACCAAAGCATTTATGATTTACAATATACAATGAATACTTTGTCACAAGATCAAGTTCGCATTCTAACGCAACCTGTTCTGAAATCACAGGAGTATCTGCATAGTAAGAACTACATCCATGGCCATGTCAAGGCTCGAAGTGTCTTGGTTGGTCGGGATCTGTCGGTCAAGCTGTGGGGTTTGGGTCCGGCATATCGCAGAAAAACGAGTGCAGCCTCTATGGATGTAGAAGATATAGAAATGAGAAAATGGCAAGCTCCAGAAGCATTAGCACAGCAACCTCTCCAGCAAAGCAGCGACATGTGAGTTTGTGATAATTATTTGTATTTTCAGTTAATGTTTTTGACACCTTTGATCTTGACATTGTGTCCATTTCTGTTTAATCCTCCATAGATGGTCCTTTGGCATTTTGCTGTATGAGATGGTGACATTAGGTGAGTGTTTCTGTCATCCACTATTATAAAAGTCTCCAGTACAGCTACAGCTGCAAGGTTCCATTTATATGGAAAAAATAATCAAATTATGAAATTGTTTAAAGCTCTTTATCCCATTGTTTTTAATCTCAGGAGAGCCGCCCTTTCCCAACATCATGGCCAGCGAACTTCTGCAGCATTTACAGAGAGTGAACACACTAAAGAGACCACCCAACTGCTCTAATACACTGTACGTCTCTTTACCCACACATATTCCGTAAACATCTTTATCTAAAAAACATGCACTTTAAATTAATTTTGTTGCAGTTAACTATAATAATCCTGGTGCACTATGTCATACACACAAATACAAAACATCATCATTGTTGCATGTGCCAATAAAATAATGAAATAGCTAAACATTTATTTTAACAACATAAGATGTAACATAACACCCTAATGTACATAACTGATAACAAAATCTATTAAGAAACACAATTATGTAAACAAAATAACATCAAATTTGAAGTGCCACTCAGGAAATTCTAATGTCAGTTTAAAGTTTGTCAAGATGGCCTATACCATAATAAGACTCGTACCATTTTTCGAAGAAAAAAAAACATACATATACAACAAAGAATCTATTCCGTTTCGATAGCCACTATAACATGCACTTACATAATATTTCTTTAGATATTCTATTATCAAATCCTGCTGTCAGTGGAAACCAAAGGATCGAGTCTCATTGGCTGAGCTGATCAGAAAGCTCCAATCAGGAGAGAGAAGCGCCAATGATCAAGCAGTGCTGCAAGTGTCTGAGCCGCTGGACATGGAGAAATACATGCGAGAGGCGGGCTATGGAGAATCATTCGATTATGGTGTGCTCTAATGATCCCTTTATGTACTTGATCAAATCCAAGACTCACCAAAAGAGCTGCGCACTAGCTATGAATAAACAAACAGTTAAGGTTTGAGATTAGCACTTTCAAAGGATTACAGAAACTGCCTGTTACAGACAGTGACATCACGCTATCAAATTTAAAGAAGCACATTATCTCATCAAGCAAGCATGTGCTATTATTCAGGGCTTTAGATTAAGGATAAACGCTAAAAGCTTAATTGCAACACAATGAGAACGAGGGGATGTAAAATACGCAACAGCGTAAGATTGTGTCATATATGAAATATGCAGCTAATAGACAAAAGCTGCAATGTAAACATGTATGAAACCACACAAAAAAACCCAACACAAACTGTGTCTAGTAATAGTCCAGGTATTGTGATTTAACTTATCATTATATTTATTTAGGTTGGACTACTGTAACATTTTGTTCACTGCTATGGCTAATTCAAATGGTATAACTTAACATGATATTATGGGTATATTTATTGGTAACTGGAAAGTCTATTGCATTATAATGACGTACGTGTTTAAAATACACTATTTATGAAGGTTTTATTTATTTTTTTGTCAGTTTAGTCATCGCTAGTGCAGTTATAAATAATAATGGTCACCTGACTTGTTCAAAATTAGGCCTACTTTTAAATATTTGGTTTTTCACTTACACATTCATGCCTGCGGTTTTGGTCCGTGAGGGAAATTGAAGTACGTTAGGTTTTATAATAATCCTTCAATAAATGCGATTTTATCTGTATTTTGTCTAAATATGAGTTTCTCTTCACCTGGGGCAAGTTCAAGCTCAAACCGGTGTGCACCGTTTTGCTACGGTTTCCGGTTTGAACGACATGTTTCCTGGAAACCCCATTCATTTCCACGAGGGGCCGACTGGGGAAAAAAAAAAATTCAGGTTGGGAAATCTCACACTCGTACACCCACAACAAATTCTGAAACATGGACAACCCTATTTTTTGTATGGTTTCCGTTTAAAAAACGTTTTGCACCGATTTTGTCGGGCTGAACGCAGCCGTTTTTAACCAGAAGCACGATTGATGACGCATAGAGTGATGCTAAAATCTGATTGGCTTCAAAGGGCGTTATTGAAAATGATTGGTTATTATGCGGAACGACGCTGTGTTATTTGAATATCAGTCCAGTGATTAAAAATACTAACTTGTGTTATCGGAAAGAACTATAAATACTCATTATCAAAGATTCAAATTCATATTGTTATTTATATGCACACTGAGTAAAAACAGCTATCTTTATGACTTTAGTTATCTTGAATATATTTTTGTGATGACAATTAGGTACCAAAATACCACAAATGTTACTGTATACTTCACTGAATCTGATGTATCCTATTAACATGTAGGAAACAGAAGTAACAAGAGATGAAATAATTTAGACTATTTATTCACAAAATAATACAACAACTGTACACAGTACCACTAATGATTTTGATACACGTTCAGGAAAAGGCACCATAAAATATACAAACGTCAAAACATCAACACTTCTGTTTAGCAGACACTCCTTTTGACCTGCAATTACATCAGAGACCATTTAACACAGAAACATGAATTTGGGTATTTACAGGGTGATGCTCTTCTAACTGTACAGTAAGCAAGTGAGTTGTGTACATTATGCACAGTAAAAGACACAATATGTGAAAGGTATAAACAGTTAATAAGATGGTTGTGTTTGCTAGTGTTAGAAGAGGGCTGGCTCAATGTGAAGCTGCTCTTGACCGCTGGAATACAAACCACAGTGCACTACTGCAAGAGGAATGTTCTTTCTTGGTCTTTTTTGGAGTTTCTCTCCGTGCAACACATACATGACCATAAGACATCAGAATGGGGAAACGCAGTTCTTCATATTACCCCTGGCGTATAAATGTGCTTATTAATAAATACTTTCACATTCAATATCTAGACAAAAATAGCAACACCTAAGCAATGGCAGCATAAAGCGTCTTATCGACTTACATGATTCTCTAATATAAGTAAAAAATAAATGTATGAACAACAAAATACTATATGTGCTCTCTATGAAAGGGATTAAAACAGAATGTCAGAAAGTGCAAAACTACAGCTACAGTATTATAAACACATTTATTCAAATCAGGTGAGACTTGTCTCACTACTCTGTCAAACCTCAAAGTGAGTCGGTGCAGCACATGTAAAGCTGAAATACTAAATCACCAAGCACAGGAAATTCAGTAGCGGGAGTAATGGTCATAATCTAGCAAATTTCCTCCTTGATTATGTCATTTGCTAAAAATCTTAATCTAGGATATCTGAAATGTGAGCTTGTTTAGTTATTGAGACTGTATATACAGTGAAATTCACTGAACACTGGTTGGTCCATTTGCATCCTCTACAATACAACCTTTACTGTGATTTTAGATGAATGAGTGACTTATTTATCCGAAGAGTCTGTTTCTTTAAATGTATTATTGTTGGCAGTAAACTAGCGATTTTATTCTTGGCATAAGCTTTACTAGCTAAGCACTTCCTATAAATATAAATATTTTAATGCATTTTAATTATATGTTCTAAGTGTTTTTGATGGTAGTAGTGATCTGAAGTAATGAAAATGTATATATATTTCTATATACACTATATATTATACAAAATAAACATCGTCAGTGCAAAAACCTAGAGATTATGATGACTGCCAACTATCATTCAAGGGAAAAACACTTGTGCTTTTCTAAAAGCAAAAAAAAAAAAAAAAAGAGGTTTGACAGTTGAAAATGGCGAGAAGTATGAAGGCCAAATGTTAAAATTCCCTTTTTCTGTTTGAGTTGATAAAGGAAACTATGTCCAATTTGTCAATTCACATTAAAAATGCACAAACAGGAATGAGCAATAAAAGGATATAACTCTTAAAACATGAATCAATATTGCACCAATCCATCAGTTGTCAAACTACACAATAAAATAAAGGTCATGTACTATGAGCTCTCGTATCCTTTCAAAATATGTCTAGGAGATCTGTGACTCTCCACTGTGGTTCCTTTCATAATCTGTTTACCCTAAACAATCTCTTTCCAGTAAATAAATCTCTAGTATTATATTTCTATCTTCAGTGTCATGGCTTTAATCATATTAAGCTATATATAGTTACATCGTTTCTTAGATGGTGGAATTAGATTTCTCCTCTTTACTAGAATCCACCAGTGGCTGGGTAACTGAGCTCGGTTTGTCCTCCACCTTTGTGGCATCTGCCGCAGCTTTCTCAGATGAGCTTGCACCCTGTTCCGAGGAAGATTTGGAAGCTTCCACCAATGGGACCTTTTCTTTGACCGGAGAGGCAGGAAGTGCGACTCTGCCGGGCTCCTCCACAGAGGTGGCAGCTGGAGGCGGAGCCCCGCTAAAACCACGGGCGATGTCATCGAAAGTTCGCCCTTTGGTCTCCGGTACTTTGAAGTACGTGAAGATGAAGAAGAAGATGAGGAAGATCATAAATATAATGAAGACATATGGCCCGCACAGCTCCTGTAATTCACAAACAATAAGAAAAAAGTTAATTCTGACATTGTGCACACATTTTACCACAAAATAAAATTACGGTAACTAGTTATGAGATAAAAATGTTCTATATTAAGACAATTATTAGTTTTAAGTGGTTAAAGTAATGGCTATTGATTTAATAAATTAATTTAAGAGATGAATTGTTGAATAAAGTCATTATTTTTTTTGTTTTCTTTGTCCACAAAGATTATTCTCATAGCTTCATAAAATTATGGTTGAACCACTGATGTCACACGGACTGTTTTACCGATGACCTTAATGCGTTTCTGGGCCTGGGAACATTGCAGTTACATTGCTGTCTATGGAGGGTCAGAAAACTCTCGGATTTCATCAAAAATATCTTAATTTGTGTTCCGAAGATGAACGAAGGTCTTACGGGTTTGGAGCGACATGAGGGTAAGTAATTAATAATAGAATTTTCATTTTTGGGTGAACTATCCCTTTAAACTCATACCTCCAATTCTCTAGTTTAGGAAACTATATTCCCACAAGCAGAAGAATACACTAATTTAACATAAAATAAGATCACAATAACCCGCTAATCATGACATAAAAATTTATTATAATAGAATAATTATAAAAAAAAAACAAAACTTTATTTTAATGGGTTAGATTAAAATGATTTTAAATTCAAGTTTCAAGGTGAGTGATTTAAAAAAAAAACATATTTAAAATAAATATTTATTTTTATATACATATGTAAAATAAATATTTAAATGAAAAGCTGGTTCTCCATATAGAATATGAATAGTTTTACTTTAAAAATTAATTCAGTAGATTTAAGTGGTTAAAGTAATGGCAATTGATTTAATACGTTTTAATAAGCTAATTCCCACAAGGAGAATAATAAACTAATTTAACATAAAAATCACTTGGCATGAAATATTTGTTTATTATAGAATAATTATTTAAAAACTTTATTTTAATTGGTTAGATTAAATTATTTCAAATTCAAGTTCAAATGTGTGTGTTTATTTTATTTCAGAAATGTTTATTTGTAAAGCTGGTTCTCCATAACCAATATTACTATATTTATCTTAAAACACTTTAAAACAATACTGTAGTTTTAAGTAGTTAAAGTAATGGAAGTTGTTTTTAAAAGTTCATCTAAATTAAGCTCATACCTCCAGTTTAGGGAAGCTGATTCCCACAAGGAAGTTGGCTGTCCAGTTGGAGCATCCTGCAACGGCCATGGCGGCAGGACGTGGCCCCTGGGAGAACAGTTCAGCCACTATGAACCAGGGAATGGGTCCAGGGCCCATCTCAAACATGGCCACAAAGGCAAAGACTGCAGCAATGCTGAGGTAGCGAAGAGCCTCAATGTCCTTCTGCTCAGGAACAAAGGTAAGAAAATACAGGTACGACATTCTTATGATGGTCAGATATTTACAGTGACTGTTTTGAATCTTCAGCAAAATGAAAACAGACAGCAGGACCCACCAATAAGAGAGCAATGGTCATGGCCAAGGCGCTGACAGCCATTCCACCCAAACCAATAAGGTGCAAAGTTCTTCTTCCTGCCCTCTCCACCAAGAAAAGCTTGAAGAAAAGGATAAAATTAAAGGGGTCCTATTATGCTTTTTCACTTTTTCAATTTTAGTTAGTCTGTAATGTTGCTGTTTGAGCATAAAAAAGATCTGCGAAGTTACAAAGTCCAATTCAAAAGGAGATATTTTATTTAAAATAAATCACTTTTCAAAAACTACAACGAACGACTCGTTTGGACTACAACGCATATTTTCCGGGATTTGTGACATCACAAATACTGACGAATGGGACGAGACCAGGTTGAGATGCACTAGAGAAGGCAACTAGTGTTATCACTATGTCAGAGACACGCTAGCTTTCCCAAGGCAGACGAACTTAGAGTGGTTACAATCATCCGGGTTTAAATCACGCTCAAATTGATTTGATTTTGACGCAATATTTACACTGAAGC